GCGAGCACAGAGAGGTGCGGCAAAGCGCGGACGGGCGCTTGGCCCGGAGCTGCAGCCAGGAGTTCACGCTCCGCCCTCGCCCGGGTCGGGGCGCGAGGTTCGCGAGCTAGCGGCGCAGTGACTCACTCAGCGCTGGGCGGCTCCAACCTCCGCCCGGACGGCCTCTCCGGCGCCGGCGCCACCGCCCAGCGCCTAGGCTGTCTCCGCCGCCCCCACGCCCGCAGTGCTGGCCTGGCCGCAGCGGAACCGCCTGTAGCAGGCCGAACACCGCTGCCGCCAGACCTCTTCAAGAAGCCGATTCTCCCCGCGCCCTGCGGTACTTGGAAAACGGGGCGCGCCGGCTGTTCAGGCACTCAGGAGGGAGGTTGGCTGCTCCGGAATTCAGGGCGACCCCTGCTCATAGAGACAAGCCAGCACATCCACTGACACAGCTATCCATACACTGGATCACTCACGGGCCCCACGCACTGGCAATATGATCTCACAGACACACTCAGGTTTCATACCTTTACACACTCAGGCACATAATGACACACACGAGGGTAGTCACACACACATAATCACATGCAGACACAAGTTCACATTCACACATACACTGTTAGAAAAACTCACACATGCACTTATCCCACACAAAGACACCATTCTACTGGAGTGGAGGGTCCAGCTTTGGAAGTGACCCCTCTTTCTGGCTTTCCCTGCAAAGGCCAGGAGTAGGTGGTTAATGGAGGCATGAACTAAAAGACCCTTCCTTAAGAGTGCTGGAACCCACAGTTCAGTTTCCTAGTTTCAATCGCAAGCTGTAGGACCTTGGGCAACCCACTTAACCTCTGTGCCAGCTTCCAGATCTATAAAATAGGGAAAATCATACTAGCTATTTCCCAGAGTTGTGAGCATCTAATAACGGAGTGCTGGTGGCTCTATTGGGTGAAAGATGGGTTGCTGACCCCAAAGTCAGTGCTGTAAGCCCACTAGCCACTTCGCCAGAGAAAGATAAGGCTATCCCCAGGACAATTTACACTCTCAGAAACTATCTGGGGTCACCATGAGGCAGAATCAATTCGATGGCCATGGGTTTAATGACACAGTGATCTAGCACAGCACCCAGCACATAGTATACCTTCCATAAAATTTAGCTGATAGTACTGTTGTATTATTGCAGTGCTACCAAATGGGGAGGATTTACTTTTGCAGACAATTATGAAGTGCAAAGTTACCCAGAAATCTTTGCCATTTCTTCCTGGGTCAAAGCAGTTCCCTGGGACTGGGAAAATGCTAGCCCTTTCTTACCTAGGACCTGAACCTCAATCACTCTCTTGGAAGCAACTCCTCGCCTGGAGAGGAGGTTGGGGCAAGCCAGGAAGCTCTGCTAACCACATAGAGCCTCCTCTCTAAGGATGATTCTCCAGGCCATCCATATCCGTGTGCTGTCTTCAATTCATTTCTGCCAAAAAGACAGGCAGCAGCGGCTGGGTGACTTTAGGGGCGTTGTGACATCATGGGGTGGGGACCGAGCCTTCGTTTTTCCGGCCAACGTTGATTTGAGGCCTACATCGGACTTGGCTCCCAACAGAATAGGGTCCATGAAGTTGAGGCCCTGGGGAAGGTTGGGAGGCTACACAAATCCAACCTCCTCCTGTATTGCCATCTCCTTGACCTGAGATTCTGGGCTTCCCTAGGTCGCCGCTGCCCCCACGCCCCAATCTCTACCCTCCATCAGCCCCAAATTCCGTGGTTTCTTTGAGTGCCAGTAGCTGGTGCCAGCCTTCCCCCCTGCGGTTGAGCGTGCCCTCCCCTGTCCTGCGCGCACTCCCCTCCCCCCTCCCGAAACCAGCGGCGGAGAGACGGGGCAGTAAATTGGCTGGTGTCGAGGATCTGCAGCAGACAAGATGATTAAGAGGCCTACGCCGGAGCGCCCGGGGCAGGGAATGTCAGCCCAAGTTGGAATCACGCAACAGGCCTTGGCATGAACCGAGCCTGGGAGCCGGGAGGGCGGGCGGCCCCAGCTCCGGGGTGGGCCGAGGCCCCACAGACTCGCCGGAGTCACCGAACCTGGCACCCGGCGGCGGGGTCGGGTTCGGCCAAGGCGCGCCTTGCCTGGAGGAGCTGGCGAGGCCGAGGGCAGGCGGGTGCGGGGTTAGAGGAAGGGGGCGTTGCCGCAGACCAGGAGATGAGCTAAAAGCAGAGAGAGGGAGGACGCGCCCGGGGTTCGAGAAATGAAGAGGCGGGGGAGAAGGAGGGGTGGGCGAGGGGAGAAACAAAGCTGGGCTAGGGGAGGCGAGGCCCGGCTCCAACCCTGTCGGGGGCGACGCGCTGGCAAGCGTTTCTCACAGTCTCTCCGGCCGGCCAGAAGCCGCGGAGTCTTCTGATCACCCCGCCGCCGCGCAGACACACTCCCCCCGCCCCCGCCTGGGCTCCCCAAGGCGCGAGTGAAAAATGGACATGGGAAGCTGCGATCTGGGCTCCCTACACTGGGAAAGCAGGCGCGCTGGGAAGGCACATAAATCTTCATTGTAATCCCGGTGCATTTGCTCACGTGAATTATCAGGCCAGAGACAGGATGTGACAAGCGCTGGGAAGCAGGGGGGAGTGGGGGGAGGGAAGCCGGAGAGTGAGGGGTGCCTGGCCCTCCCCATTCCTCTTTCTGGCAGGGCTGCTTCGGACTCCAGCACAGTGCTAGCCCAGAGTCTCCAGCCCGCTGCGTACCCCTCGGGCGCGCCCGCATTCCCCGGTTCCCGCCCACAGCTCAGAGGGCCGCCACCCCGCCCCTGGGCGCGGCGACAAGCAGGGCGTGCACCCACCTTGTCCCCCCTCCCGTTCCAGGCCGCTGGCCTGGCCTCCCGCCGCCGCCCCGGGACTCTGGAGTTGGGAATGGAAGGAAAGAAAGGGAACGGACCCCAGGCCTAATCAGAGGGGCTGCAATATGGGACCGTTTAGGAAGCTTCCTCTTGGCCTTCTTTCAAGATTACTTGTAAAAATTGTGAATATCCGTCCTGTGTAGGGATTTCCGAGACTGGTGGGCGAGTGGAGGGAAGTATCAGGTTTGATGGGGCGGAGAGAGAGCGGCAGCTTTGTTTACAAACAACTGGGCTGAAAGAGACCCGAGACCAGACCTGGGATGGGGCGGGGGAGGGGGGGATAGGAAGGGAGGCGGCCCAAAGGTCCCCCTGCATCGATGAAACCCCCCCCCCCCCACGAAAGAGAAAAATTCTCGAGGAGCAGTAAGTCCCCTTGTCCTCATTCCGGACAGTAAAACCCAACCTCAACTCTTCACTCCTTGAATGAGCACTCGCGTAAAAGTCACCAGCCTGCTCTATCCAGCCAGTGAAACCAACGTTGTTAGCCCGCTTTGAGTCGGAGGCCCCTTTGAAAATGAAACTACACATCTTTCATCCCTGCTAAAATACGGACTCCATCGTATTCGACTTTGGGGTCCCAAGTCGCAGAAGCGACACTGCGCCCGGGTTCCCCGCGCCCTTGGTGCCAGCCAACTGGGCCCTCCAGGGACTGGCTGTTTCTCGCAGGGTGGTGACTGCGAAAGCAACCCCATGGGTTGGGGGGGCCCCGTGCCGAGTTCGCTCTCCCCGCCCGGGATTGTAGAGCCAGAGCCCTCCCTCTCCTTTCGCTCCGCCGCCACCGAGGCAGACGGATGTGGAGGCCCACCGCCCTCCGAGCCCCCCTGACGGAAGTTCCCCCAGCGGGGACGGGTTTGGCAGTGATTGCCACATTACAAGATGTTACATTCCGCCCTGGGGCCTGGGGCCGGGTGGGGCGGGAGAGACGACGTGTTTCAAGAAAGGAAAGAGCAGCCCTTTGGCGCCTCCGCCGTGGAACGCACTCAGTTTGCAGGCAGACCTTCCTTCTTGGCCCGCTCCCGCTCTAGGCCTCCGGGGGTCGAGCCCTGCAGTTTGCATGCAGCGAGGCAGCGCTCGCGGGGTTCTTTGGGGACCCATTTGGGGGATCCCAGTGCTCCTGGAGCCACCAGCTGCAGCTTTGGCCCAGTCGGC